GTTCTTGTTTATTTTTCGTAATCCACGTCAAAGTAGATTATTTGGTCTAATACAGTCATTCCTTCTACTTGCGAGATAATTTGGCGAAATTTCGTGATGTGGTCCCTAGAACCCTTACATTGGAATTGTTTGAGGCGATGAAGATCATCCTGAAGACGTTGTTGGAGGTCCGCAGGAACCGACTCCTTTTCCACAGAGAGGAAAAACTCGTCCACCGAGATTATTTCCTCGTGATTAATTAAGAACCGCTGTGCTGCTGTTTCTCGCTTTAAGTTTGTGAGTATAAAAAGTATATGGTGTGCCATACGATTAATGGTTCACCTCGATCCAAAGCGCAATAGAATATTATTTTACTTGTCCGTAGAAAAATCGAACAGAGTCTTCATTTTGTCTGCTGTAAGTCAGCATTTTCAACCTGTCTACTTTTAAGCCCCCCGCACAACGAGTCATAACCAAGGTGTCAATGAGCTCCTGCTGGCTTTGTAGAATCTGCATCATTCATTGTACAAGCTCGCCATTGGTAGGTTGTGCCATGGTCAAAAGTTAGATTCGCTGCTTTGCTTTGTCTAAGTTTCTCACTTTGTACCGGATATCCTAAAGAATATTACGCTCGACTTCTTCAAGGAGCACATCAACTTGGTATAGCGGTTCCGATGATGATTTCTTTTCATTCTGTAGAATCGCCTTTTCCGTGGTAAGCGGCTTGGACAGGATCCTGGCGATACGGCGTGTCTTCTTCATGGACGCCAGAAGATCATTAGTCGTTTGTGAAGATTTGTCCGTGCACTCGAACACGAAGGCTTTACTGCAGATAAATGGTACTTGAGGCTCAAAGTTGCACTTTTTGCTCACCGAACTTGACGACTTACTTAGCCAATACAGCTCAAGCATCTATTGTTCAACCTCATCGCAGATAGGAAGCTTATTCGCAGCCGTAAGACGTACTTAACTTTGCACAAACCAAGTGACTCTACCTGTAAGACCTACGGTTAAAATCATAGTGGATTTATAGGCAACACACTCTTACCTGAAAGGCAGTGCCTTCAAAGAGATGGGGATTCGTGATCTGCGAGTGATTATTTCCACGCTACGAGCAGTGTCCTAAACGAAGAATAAATTGTAGGCGCAAGGCGATGAACTACAAGCGCGAGGAGACACGGCAAGCTGGAAGGAGGAATGAAGAGTCACGACGACGGGCGGACAACGAAGACAGGCGGCGGGGAAGTGGCGAAGAGTAATGTGGCCAATGCTACCACTTGTAAGGAGGTAGGAAAGTTTGAAACTAAATGTATATTAGGCCTTTCTAACCATTAGATTTTGTTTTGTGTAACTCACCTGAAAATGGAATCGCATATTACATGTTTAAGACTAAAGTGTACATCATCCATATTGTTGTACAAACGATATCTGCCAATTTTAGTATGGCATAGGAACTGTGAACTTATACAAATGAATGGTCCTCAATCAGTCTGAACTGAGCGATCCTGACACTCAGCAATGTTGTTCAAGTTGCGTAAATTATCAACGCCGTAAGGTATGAGCGAAAATGAGGCTCAATTCCTTTGTCGCCACAAGAAGGGGACACGAAATGTCACAAAGAATATCAACAACAAAAAGCGCATCTATAGGCGCGACCGCAGCGAAATGTACCAAAGGAGTCGTCATTCTGATAGAAGAAGAACGAAAAAAAGATTTGAAAGATGTTGCACTAGCTCTCCTTCTACAAGGTTGTCATAAACGTCATGGAAACGTAACTTATTTTGTTGGCGGTCGGTGAAACTCGATTGCAAAAAGTGATGCAAGTGCCAGCGGTACAGAAGCAGTAGGTGCGACTGGCGTGAAAGCGTTCGACTCGATACAAATATCACCGACAACCCATAGCGAAGAGGATTAAGTTTTGTCCATTCTAATTCAATTTCGTTAATCCTTGCTGTACCCTGTGTGTATCGACACCCAAGTCGGACGCTTTCACACTTATCTCCTCCTATCGTTGTAGTCGTGGAGATTGATCGGTTGACAATCGGAGACTTTGTGGGCATGGAGAGTTATGTTGCGATGTTCCGGTCGCGGCCATTTGCTTCGTGTATATCCCCATGAAGAGACGTTGACCGATCAACTGCCTTCATTCCGCCAAGTAAAAGAGCCGTTATCTGTCGAATAAAGCGTGTTCGTCTCTCGGTTCAATACGATCTGCTCTCGATATACAACGTTCGTCATCATTCCGGGATAGATCGATGAACCACGCATTTCCCCATCCGTTCGTTCTTTCGCAAGGATAGGTACACTCGACGTTGTAGCTCTTACTGTATGGCATGCCGAAATTGGTTTACCATCGCAGCCTTCGTCTTTCGTAAGAAAGCCAAGCGGACTAGCGTCCAAGATTCCAATAAGCACACGTTTTCGGTCGGATCATATTATCTGCTTCCACAGTCGCGCTCATGTGTTGTTGCTCAACGGCCACGGTCTTCTTCGACTCTATCTTGTACCGCGCTATCTTCCGTCCATGATCTGCAATGTATAAAATCTTAGGTCAAGTTGTAGTAAGTGGAAGTGGTCACGACGTATCCAGCCCCTCTTGCTGGGTTCCGTGGCCGCTTCCTCGCAACGACTACCGCCTTGCGTAGAGGTCAACTACCTCTACCATGTCTTTCTCCCTGTTGCCGAGGTTGTCCTGGTTTTCCCCCGATGGCCACATCAGGATCCGATGGATCATATCACGATGTGGCCGCTTCGTTTTCTCTCTTGCTGTTTTTCTTCGTCCACATCTTCGTATGCGGTCCGCGACAATCATTTGCCTTTTCGGCTTACTCTTTGAGATCTGATCTAGTCCTCGCTTGCTTAGGCCAACGTCGGTTGGCTTCTCCTCTTGCTCTACGCGCAAGTAATTTCTTCTCCACCTCAACCAGCTGATCAGTCACGAAAGCACGACGAATTCTTACTTAAATCGGCTAGTGTTGTCACCCTTGGCCGAGACCATCGGACCCAACTCTCTCGGGGAGGTCGTTCGGTTGACACGTGCGTTTTACCAGTTCCATGAGCACACGTGCGGCATACTCTGATCTCCGCCGGTCTTGCTGGTCATGCTCGGTGTTTTTTCTCTTCTGTCATCGATTCCGTTCTCGCAAGCTTAGCTATTGTTCGCTGCCATTGCCGAATCTCTTACGCTCTCTCTGTCGCTCGTCGGACTCCAGATTTCTTGGCAACGTCTTCGGCCCGGCTTGAATCGGGTCGTCTCGAGTTCATAGTAGCTGTTTAGACTGACCAATGCGATACGTGGTCTCGAAACCAGCATCCATCGTGCTTATTTTGTGGTATATAGCAGTCACCAGATCTCGTGCTCATCCATCTCCGAATGCAGCAGCAACAGACTCAACGTCTCGTAGCGATTCGATCGAGACGACGACACTATCAGGGGTCTTTTACATCGGTCACAAGCTTGGCATACATGCAATGTGGCCTACAGATGAACGCGTGTACCATCAGAGTCTGCTCGCGCGAAGAGGTCGCGTGGAGGGGTGGGTCTTGGAATGGCAGAATGCATCCGCCTTGTTTCCCACCATTGAAGTCTGTACTGAGCGAAGCAGGCCACATACGAAGAGCCAATGAATATGCTGGTCACCTCCTGCTTCTCTACATGTTCGTGAGTGTTGCAGCGCTGCTAGAATAGGATTGACCACCGGCCTCGATATGTAAGTAGAAGGGGTTTCTTGAACGCAGTAGGTAAAACTCGGAACCGAATGAATACATCCTCGAATGAATACATCCTCATACACACATGCGGTGACACAGTCATCCGCAGTGACTGTCTAGTCTTGCATTCTCGCTGCGGTGATCCCGGTGCCTCATCTCTTCACTTTTCTTGTATGTCAGCTTCTCGCACGTAGCGTCTTACTTCACGTGGTCCATCGTATAGTCTCTTGTTCGACAACGTCTTCCGCTGATTGTTCAGCAGAAGTTGCTTCCGGTCTCGATTTGGCTTCCGATCTCAGTCAACTAGCAAAGCCACTTATGTGGCCAAACCCATCGGTGAGCGATCGATATCGCGCTATCAAGGCTGTTCGATGCACCAACACTGAACCTGAGTCATGCCCCTACCGTAATGGTTCGTTGCACACGTTTGTAAACCCTTGCATAAAATCGCAATACCATCGTTGCATCGTCACTATGCAACACAAGAAAAGTTTGATCGAGCACGAGACTATAAAATGAAAGGTTTTCGAGACGAGATCGAACGCGCGATCCCCACTAATCATAGTCAGCATTTGCCGTCATAGAACCGCGTACACGTTAGTCACAAGAAACGGTCGACTCCACTTGCTACTTGAAACAGCGACAGCTTGTTCGCTCTCACCTTCGCCGCAGCTCAGTCGCCGCTTTGCCCTGTTGCCTGCTTCTCTTTGTTTCGGAACCCACGAATCTGACCTGTCTCGGCGACTAATCCGACATTCCGACTACAACGCTCTCCTATCTCTCTCTTTCTTTCCACATCGACCGAGTTCGGCCGCTGCACTGTGGACTCACACTCAAAGTCTCAACAGGACCCCACTCGATCGACGCGTCATTTGGTCCAATGCGCCGTTTCGTCAACATCTCCGATACGTTTGGCGCGAGAGCAACGAGGAAAAGCGGCAGTGCCTCCGATGACGATGGGTCGGTAGCTCTGGGCGATGGAAGCAAAGCACTCGAAGCAACAAAACAATTGCCGTCAGCTCGTGGGGTCAGACCTCAACGAGCAGTCACTTTGCACCCATAGCAACGAGTTGTCAGTTGGTGTTCATGGAATCCCATCACTGTTTTCGCGTGTTTTTTCCGGCGCAAACAGCCGCAACAGTCAACAGTCCCGTTTTTGTGTGCGTGTTGACCCACAATGGCTACATTCCGTCTTCAAGTCCACCATAGCACAAAGCTGCAAGTCCCACACACACACACAACCGAAAAAGAAGCAGACGAAGCAGACGGAGCCGACAAAGCAGACGAAGCAGACGCACGCGTTCCCACTAATGGACGCGCTCCGGCGTCTCCGCAACTCATTGCTCGACTTGGCGCTGCTCAGCCGCCAGCGCCCCGTGCTCGACGCGCAGGCGCTGCAGCTCACGTTCATGACGGAGCAACTCGTGGTCACAGGCGCTCCGTCAAGTGGACCGACCGATACGAAGCGCAATGCAGTGAACGCGACCGACTTGGCGCACTTTCTCGACACGGTCTATGGTCGCCACTATCTGTTGTTCACCTGCAGCGCACTGCAACAGGACGAAGCCGTCACGAGGTACGCAGCAGCAGGAGATACACTGTCGCTGGTCGACACGCTGCACGGGCAGCTGCTCGACTTCCAGTGGGCTCGCGACGGAATGGAAGCGCACACGCCGCCGCTGGATGTCGTGTTCCGCATGTGCTACGCGCTCGACGCGTACCTGGCGCTCGACCGACAGAACGTGGCACTGGTCAACTGCCACACGGGCAAAACGAGGAGCGCACTGGTCGTGGCTTGCTACCTCCTGTTTGCACGCCTGGAGAGCGACCCGATTGAGGCGCTGGCTGTGTTTTACCGGAAACGGTGGCACCGGAAGGCGCTGACGGCGCAGAGCCTACGCGAGAAAACGCCGCCGTCGATTCGACGGTTCCTGACAGAGTTCCACCAGTTGCTGGGCCCACACAAGTCACGGAATTTCAAGCCGATGCTACTCAAGACGATCGTGCTGAGGAAACTGCCGGTCGACCTCCAGCCTCGTGTGCAGATGTGGGACGACGAACAACTTGTCTTTTGCACGGACGCTGACGCGAGCGTCGAACAGCCCGTGTTGTTGGACTGGAACGAAGAAGACGGATGCTTTGCTATTGTGTGGGAAAACGGACTCGAGTTGAATGGAGGATTCTCGCTCGTGTGCTCCTTTGGGGGCGATTACGAAAATGTGGATGACATGGACGCGGCCTCGAGAGTGCTGTTTCGGTATGCGGAATCGACGCTTTTTCTCTCGCCGGGGCTAGTCACGCTCACGAGACACGATTTGGACTTGATGAAGCAGTACGCGCACGGATTTGACGACGACCAGTTTTCGATTGAGCTAAATTTGCATGAGAATAGCGCCAAGCGTCCGCGTGACATGGTGAGAATGGACTACTCGGGGAGATTCGCAATGTGCCAGGGTTTGATCGAGATTTCCAAGCACCACGTCGTTGTGCCGGATACTGCAATGCATTCGGAGCTCATTCGTATGGGCTTTGGCGAAGTGCCTGCTACATTTGCACTTCAATGCTCTCAGAATACCCCGAGTTTGGCGCTAGAGTTATTACGGTGCAACGAATTGTCTGCCTCCTTTGTCCACGAAACGATGGGGAATACAGCTGAACAAGGCCCAGTCGATTCTATTGAGGCCAGCCAGAATCCCCAAATGAGATTTGATACTCCGTCAAGCACGCGACTGGGGCCTGCTTTCGAGGTCGATCGAGAATCTAGTACTGCGCCTGCCGAATCTCAAGCTCTTGACGGTGGAAGAAATGTCGGAGGTGTACCGACAGCTCTTGGCATCATGTCCACCGCTACAAATAAACAGAGTCGGGCGGTAGATGATGATTCTGAAGAACTGGGACGTCGGAAGGAGTATGTTGCGTCGACTGGTTTGTCATGCGGCGACCTCACGAAAGCGACAACAAGTCTAGGCAGCTTGGATACCTCTATCGCTGTGTCGCTAGCAACTTCCCTCACGTCAGAAAAAGATTCCGATCTGCCTGGGACACCCGACGAGGATACGATAGCTGCATTCTTAAGCAAGCAGAATACCGGTCGGAGCTCGAATGATGTCAGCGAGATGTTTCCACCGAAGTCTACAGGCAACAAGTACACGTTGATGTTGAAGCGCGGTGTCCCATTCGAGGCAGTTCGAAACTGCATGCAGAGGGAAAATGTCGATCCATCGACATTGCAAGCCGTACTTCCGAATGAGAGCAGTACAGGCGTTCTCAGTAGCGCCAGCCAAGCGAATGACATCCGCAAACGAAAACTCAAAGACGTGGACGAATTTTCAACCTACTTTCGGATGCTGCGTATGGGATGCCCAAAAGAAGCTGTGAGACAGAAAATCACAATGGATGGAATCGATCCTGTCATCCTAGACCTTGGTTCCGATGCCATTTATGAAGAGGTGAAGAACTGCATTGCGGTAAGATCGGGTGTTCGGAAGGTTCGCGATGGTATGATGAACCCGTCTGCGGCAGTAAATGAAGATGAGTCTGCATCGAAGATCTCGCTGAATGGCCACGACGTATGTGCCAAGTATCATACGATGCTAAAGCTGGGAGTGCCAAAGGGTGCTGTGTGCCAAAAGATGAAGGTAGACGGTGTTGATGTGCGCATATTGGACTCGGGTGAAAGCAGTTTCTATTCGACGCTACGAGAACAGACAGGTGGGCAAAGGCCTACGGTCACAGTGGATGAGATGAAGCTGATGGGTCATCCGGAGTATGCGAAGTACTGTAAAATGATGCTAGCAGGCTTATCGGAAGCCGCTGTCCGTAAAAAGATGCAAGTCGATGGCGTGAATGAGGGGGTCATGGATTTCTGTGTAGAGGCCGTGGTATCACAGCTTCCGAAATCGTATGGTGGGAATCGTGCCAAAGTGCGAGATGACGCCGCTACAGCCGACTTCGACACAACGAAAAAGATGGTACTGAACGAAGGAGGTGTATGCCAGCGAACGAGGCTCGATGGTGTTGAAGAGAGTGCTTTTGGTCGTAAGGATAACGCGACGCCTGTCTCGGATATAAGTGGTGTGGGAAGTGGCGTAAAGAGGGAAGGAGATTTAATAAACGCAACATGTTCGACAGGAATGTCTGAAGGTGCGGTGAGGCAAGAAATGGTGACGGACGATGTTGAACTGCGTCAGCTGGAGCTCGGCACAAATGTCAGTGTTGCACAAGTCACTTCTAGTGAACCTGTTGTGGCTGCAAGCGCAGCAGCAGACTCACCCGCGCGTGCACGTAAAAAGCTGCACTGGCAGGCCATATCAGAGGACCGGTTGCAAAATCGTGATCGGCAAAAAACAATTTGGGAAGGCGAGGACGAAGACGTTCAGTTTGATGTCGATATGGATGAGCTCGAAGCGCTCTTTTTTGCAAACCACGACACGGCTAGTGCGAAGAAGGGTTTGTTACGAGGACCGAGTAACGCGTTGAAGAGAAAGAAAAGTGTAACGCTGTTTGACGGGAAACGTGCAATGAATGCTGCCATCTCCTTGGCGCGAGTCAAGCTCACTTATAGCGAGATTGCCGAAGCTGTATTGAAGTTCGATTCAAGCGTTCTTTCGATCGAGCAGCTCATTGGCATTAACGAAAGCCTTCCTACTTCAGATGAAGTGGCACTTGTTTCTAGATATACTGGGGAAAAGAAGATGCTCGGCGAGGTACGTTGCTCAGAAGTGATAAGCAGTTTTGATCGAAATGCTTACGTTTTCACGACTGTTTGACAAACACAGGCCGAGAAGTTTGCTCTTGAGATCGCGAAGGTCGCACGATATGGACCTCGAATGGAGTGTCTGATATTCAAGATGTCTTTCCCATCCCGCAGTGCGGAGCTCACCACCTCCTTGTCACGTTTGCATAAGGCTAGCGAAGAGGTGAAGGGTAGCCGCTTGCTAAAAAGTCTGCTTGCGATCGTGCTCAAGCTGGGCAATACCCTGAATGGAAGCAAAGAGGACAATGGCATCAAGGGGTTTACTGTCGACTCTTTGCTTCGCTTGGGGCATACCAAAGCGGTCAATCAGAAGACGACAGTGTTGCACTACTTGGTTCGGCTCATGAAGAAAAATCACGTCCAGGTCCTTGACTTCCAGGCTGAATTGCCGAGTGTTGCTCTCGCAGCACGGGAGTCGTTTGCAACCATAGACGCCGAGTTTGCGAAACTGGGAAAAGGGTTATCGAGTCTTCGCACTGAGCAGGGGATGCTAGAAAAGGTATGTTGAAACTGTGCTGCGTGAAATCTGGACCCTTCCGGAAGCTGAACAATTGCGAACTCACTAGTATGCTTGCTCAATGTAACCGAACAGCAGTCTGTCAAGACAATGGGACTGGAAGCCACGATTGCGGTGATACAAGCTGACGTCGCTGACATCGACGCGCAAATGGAAACGATCGGGGACGGGATATCTCGCGCAAGGAAGGAAGTTTCAAGTGTACTCGACTACTTTGGAGAAGACCCAAAGCGAAACCCAAGCGAGGTCTTTGCCACGCTTGCTTCGTTTTGCACGGTGCGGTTCCCTCTGTTTTGCCTCAATTTCGTCCAGAAGACCACAACAAACTTTGGTGTTGTGTTGTGAACTCTGTTAGGTGTTCCAACAAGCACGCAATGAAGTCGATGCTGCAGACGAAGCTGCACGACGGAAGGAACGCTTGACGATACGTCGGTCCAACACATTACGACCACTGCCAAAGTCGAGTGACAACGCAACCATAAAGGTGGTCTCATCAGGTTCTACATAGAGCGTCGTCCCCGCCGGACTCACCGCTGAAGAGCGACAGCAAATTGACGACCACCAACAACAGCAAACAAGGATCCATTTTTGCCTTATTTTACTTGCGTCAAACGTCACCGGTTAGGAGTGTGCGAGTGGCTGCGGCACAGGAACTTGGTGGAGGTGCCAGGATGTGACAACACAGATCTAAAGAGACCTCCAGCTAATGCCGTTCAGTCAGTCGTCCATGAGATATCGTGCCAGGTATGCTAAAGCTTTGATCGGATTCGGCAGCATTCGGCTGCATACTTACTTTGCAAACTCCTTCCACGAGCAAGCTTCGCGGATGCGCAGATACCAACACGCACATGGGCACGCGCTTGCTGTTCTGGTCTCGTGCTTGTCTATTTTCGGTCAGGATTTTACCGCCACCCGATCGATTTTGCCTTGACGCGCTTCGCAGGGGTTGATGCCACCTTTGGGGTTACTACTGTTGCCGTCACGGATGGGTTCGCAGCAAGCACACGCACGGCTCCTCCGATAGATCTGCAATGCAAAACAGAGCAAATGAGGTCACGGTAAGCGACGACATGAGCTAGCATATACACACTTACCCCCGACGCGTGTTTGACGTGGTGAGTTCACGGGAAGGCAACGCAGAAGACGACGATCCGATGACTACTCCGGACAAATCAAATGATACTTGCTTTGACGTCATGGTGCTACCGTCACCGCTCGTGTACTCCGTCGTGGGGCTATCGACGTTGTCGTTGTTCCCACACTGCTTCTTCAAGATACTGGCGCGCGAGCAAAAAAGCAGACAGGATGTCAGACGCCAGCAACAACTTGCATACTCATCAAGCCCTTCTCACCTGCGGACATTCTCGGACGTTGACGGCCTCTTTCTTTTCACACTTCTTGCAGGAGCCTTCACTGCTTGGTCCAGGGCTGATAAACTCAGCCGCCGCGAAAAATTCGTCGGAGGAGAGATGCCACTCGGCTTGCCGCTGCCTGTCGCCCTCATCTCTGCATTTTCCGGCGAGGACTCATTGCCACGCAAAATGTTTTCCGCTATGTTCTCAATTCCATTGAGTCCCTGCGCATTCACTCTGTTCATGCAGTCAACACACGGTGTCAGTCACATGCACGAGTCAAGCCAAACAGCAAGCATCGAGCGCTTCGGCACATCGATCTGCGTACTTTCGAGTGTATAAACTCCACCTTCGCGCAGACACGGGGGGTGGTAGCTCGGGTGGGGACGGCGTCCTCATCTGCTGTAAAATCCTCCTCGCCTCATCACCCTTCGATCTGCGGCGATGTTCCTCATGGCGGTACTCTGCCAGTCGCTTTTCGTACTTCTTTCGCAGCTCCAGCTCGGCATTGAGTTTTTCTTGAAGGGTCTGAATCTGGGACACTTGATTGGCAACCTGCAACAGACAACACAGCGAGTGAGGTCCACCCGTCTTCACTGCCAACGCGGCAGAGCTCCACAAATAATGCCTACCACGCCATTCAGCCGAGCAATCTCAGCACGCTCCGTGCGTTGCGACTTTCCCATCTGAATGTGACTCACGCGCGATGCAAACTTGAGCGAGTTGATCGTCTCGTTCACGTCTTCGCTCTGCGGACGCACGTGCACGAGCAAAAGCGTGCGGTTGGCACTACCGCTCAGCGAATCCTGCAGCAAATGCGTGAGCTTCGAGTTGCGAAACGGCACGTGCTTCTCCTTTGCCAGTAACGCTGACAACACGTCACCGACGGCCGACAGCGACTTGTTGATGTGCTGCGCTTCCCGCACAGTCAGCGCACACATCGCTGCTGTCTTCAACAGCCTCTCCGAGCCCGCCAGATCCACCAGCACCAGTCGGCCGACGTCCGTCTCGCCACTGGCTTTGCTCGTCCGCCGGATCTCAATCGTCAACACAGTGTGCGACCGATGGCTGCGGTCGTTCAACGCTGCAGTGCGACTGCTCGTGCTCCGAGCAATCACGTCCCGAAACTCCTCGCCACTCGACACGGCAATCGTCTCGACATTCTTCAAGTAGACGCCATTCCCGCCGTGTCGAATCTCCACTGCCGACGACACCGCAGGAGCGCCACCAGGCGACAGTCGGTCGCCCCCACCCGTCGTACAAGTCGTCGCAGCGCTACCACTACTACTCGTCGTACAAGTAGCAGCCGTCGCCTCACTCGTCGTACAAATTGCACGACCATCACGGCCGTCCGCGTCCGACCGCACGAGCAGGTCGTAAATCTCTTCATTGTACACTTCCACCCGCTGCAGCCGCACGTCAAAGGCGTAGACGTGCTTCTGCTGCTGCCGCGTCGCCCAAATGAGCGCCGACGCGCGGTCGTACAGTCCGCCGTCCGCGGCCCGGCCCTCCATCGTGTGCGTCTTGCCCGCGCCCGTCTGCCCGTACGCCAACACGCACGCGTAATGCCCCGCGAGCGCCGACTGCACGAGCGGCGCCACCTCCTGAAACACCGCCGCCTGCGACTGCTGGGCGTGGAACACGCGCGAGAAGAAAAAGCTCTTGGACGCCGTCGCGCCGTCGCCGACGCTCAGCTCGTGGGCCGACGCGACGTGGACGCACGTCGGCTGCCGGTCGACCCGAGCGCTCGGGTCGGGCGGCCGCACGCGGCACAGGACGCGGACGGTCCGCTGCCGCTCGTGCAGTTGCGTCTCGAGGAGGCCGCGCGCCGACCGCTCGTGCGCGAGCGCGTCGGTCGTTGCGCGTTCGCGCGCGTGCGTGCGGTCGAGCGCGGCCACGAGCTCTGCGCCGAGGCGGCCAAAGTCGCGGCCGCAGAGCGAGAGGGACGTGGCGACGTCGCGCTTGAGGAGCGAGAGGCTCGTGCGCAGGTGCGACGTGAGCGCGCGCGCGTGGTCGACGGCGTCGGCCATGAGAGGGAGTGGGTGAGTTGGGTGTGGTGTTTTTTGTACGATGAGATTTTGGAGGAGAAGGGGGAAAACGCGCGCGGACGGGGGTGGGTGGGTGGGTGGGTGGGGTTGTGAAGGATTGGTTTGGACGTTGGGTGTTTTGGGTGCGTGTGGTTGGGTGGGTGACAGCATCCCCTGTCAAAGAAGATGGATATTGACGATGATCGAGTTGACAAGAGGTCGTGTAGTTGACGTGAAGGAGAGAGAAGGCACGAAGAGTTGTTTGGAGAGGTGGAGGGTGGTAAGTACGTGCGCACTTGTTGAGGTAGTTGGTAAAACGGATCCGTAGGGTATGCGTCGACGTCAGTGGTAGCTCTATAACGATCATCTGTTAGTAGAAGAGGGCAACGCGCTGTAGAGATGAATTGTCTCGCTCGAGCGGTACGTATTGCCGGTATGCTATGCGAAGGGAGGCCGACTCGCAATTTTTACCCGGTAAGTCCCATTCGCGTCAATGTCGACTGCGTGTTTCGAGTGACGTAGTTGGTGGTCAGTATGCCGGATCAATGGGGGTACGACCCCACTTGTAAGCAGTAGCTCACCAAATGACTGCTGGACCGTGCAGCGATTGGTAGCCCTATTGTGGCACATGGATCCTCAAGCGGTCGATTGATGTAAGCAGCTGCAGCAGCTTGTGACGTTTTGTTCACTATTTCACACCGACGTACATCAAGCTGCAGTCGCCTATCAACAATCGCCAGATGCCGCTCAGGACAAAGCGTCACGTCGGTCTTTCTTTGCGCCGACGACAAGAGCTCGTTTTTACTACGCAGTGGGTACACAAGTGCGTTGGCACGACAGCAAAAACGCTTTCGACCTGGAATCGAACTAACTTATCTCAAAGACACACCCCTTGTCGTGCACCGATTTCTCGCCAATCAGCGTCGACCGACTTCTGATCCCATCCTGCTCGCTCTACGTAGTAATGCCCACGTTTTGCACGCGATCTATGCCCCCACCAGTCGCACGACCGACCAAGCAGTACCCCAACTGGCCCACTCTCGCCCTCGTCTCCGCCGCGACGTGCGCGCTGACAGTCGCTGGCTTCCTCCTCGTGTTCGACCGCCGAAGTTTCCGACTGAAGCGCCGATTCGGTCGCTATCGCAGCCGCAAGCGCTTGAGCGATAGTCGTCCGCGGTTTGGAACGTCCGACGTCGCGATGTCAAAAGACGGTGCGAAAACAATTGGCACGAAACGAATGCAAAAAGCGGATACATTGGAGTCGACACAAAAAATGATACCACTTTGTATTGGTACTGATTCGAGTCTTGTGTTGATCACGTGTTTGTATGTGTGCGCTGTTGTGGTGCGTGTGGTTTCTGGTGTCAAGTGATCTACTTGAACAACGCGAACGCTTGTCTTGACTACGTCGTGGGGGCTGGTGATACGGACGAATTCAGTGACGCCAAGTCTGTAGTCAAGCAGATTTGTCTGGACTGGTGAGCGACGGTCATTGTGGGGTGCAACGAGGACCTTGGCCGAGATTTAACACGTGCCAACTTGTGTCAATGTCCGGACAGGAGAGATGCCGAGAACGACGAGATTGCAGTCAAGATCATCGTCGGTGGCATTACGAACCGCCTCTATCGTCTACTGTGGCAAAACAAGGTGTGCTTAGGGATTTGTCAAGTACCTTTTGGAAGCTATAGTCGCCGTGAGGTGTGGCTGCTGATGATGCGTAGGTTTCTGATTGTTCTTGTGCGGGTATGATGCACATGTGCTGCAGTCGGTGCTCGTGCGTCTTTACGGGGACCACACAGAGGAGTTTATTGACCGGGACGCTGAAAACGGTGCGTGCACGTCCGTCCGTATCGGGTTTGCTATCGCTTGCAATGTCTGAACATCATGTTGATCTGTTGCGGTGTTGCAGTGCTGTTTGCCTTGCTGTCGGAACGCGGCTTTGCCCCCACATACTATGGCCGCTTCAAGAACGGTCGCATCGAAGGCTGGCTCGATGCTAGGCCGTTGCTACCAGAGGAGATGGGTCAGACGAAGCCCGTGAACTACGTGCAGATGATCGGAAGAGAACTTGGTGTCATGCACGTTATGGATATCCTAGAGGACCGTGCGCCTGTGTTGTGGACCAAGATCGAGCGGTTCGAGAAGCTGGCGATGGCGATCAAGCTGGACGATCCAGTCAAGAATGCGGCGCTGCAGGAAGTAGACTTGGCCAAGTTGCATCAGAAGTTGCAGTGGCTCAAATCCGTGCTGCCCTCGAGCCAGAATCGTAATGGCAAGGACTTGTTGGACGTCCTCGACACGGACGCAATTTCCGCACAGGCGGAAGCGTTTGCGTCGGACGTTGTCTTCTCTCACAACGATTTGCTAAGCGGCAACATCTTGCATAACTCGGACTGGGATCGCGTGCAGATCATTGACTACGAGTACGGTGGCTACAACTACCGCGCGTTTGACTTTGCCAACCACTTTTGCGAGAACTGTGGGTTTGAACTGGACCTGGCGCTTTACCCGAGCATGGAAAAGCAGTTTGCGTTTTTCAAGGCTTACATGAGCACGGCAGCGCCCAATTTGCTGGCCGAACTGGAGACGAACCGCGAGTCCAAGGCCTTTTTCCACGCGCTCTACGACGTGGTGAACCGTTACGCGCTTGCGTCACATCTCTTCTGGGGCTACTGGGCCGTCGTCCAAGCAGCTCACTCAACGATCGACTTTGACTTTCTCGCGTACGCGGCCAAGCGCTTCAACACGTTTGACGTCCACCGGGATGTGTTCTTCAGCTCCAATTAAGTAGTAGCCGTTCACTTCGAACATCGTACAGTGTTGCGACACTAGAAGCACTAGCGAGAGACAGAACAAATAGAGGCATTGCATTCACAATCGCACGCGTACCCGCATAGCACTACACGCCTACTGCTCTCTCATCGTCAGCAGCAGCTGCAGCAGCACCTGCACTTGGTCGGCTGTACCATCACACGCAAGTGCTGCAAACGATTAGTCGTTCCTTGCTGTACAAAGAACGCCTTCCCACCGCATGGTGGGTAGCTGCACCAGTCCGCGTCGACGACTGCTGCTTTTTTCTCCACCTTCTGCATCCCCATCTACACACAAACGCACCACAAACTCAGCGTCTACGCTTGACATCTCCCGCAGTCTCCAGACTGATGTCGAACGCTGGAAGGTTTTCCAACGACGTCGACTCGCTCGTCTTGTTAAAGTAGCGACTGATAATCACAGCTGGTTTGTCCGGCAGCGCCAGCGTCAGTTCCACGCGCATTCGGCCTCGTCCGTCCAGTGTGCGCAAGTCCGTCAGCACACCTCGAAAACCAGAAAGCTGCGTGACGGTCGTGATCCGCGTAGCGTCACCTGTAACGGTAATGAGATTGTTCTTGACGTTGACTTCCTGTCCGAACTTCAGCTGCTTCGTCTCGGTGAAAATGCGCGTGCGTCGAGTAATGACAAACTCGCCAGGGCTCTGGTTGATCACCACCATCAGGTCCAGCTTGTCAGCCGCTTGCCGCGCAATGAGGGGCAGCCCCATGGCTTCCAGGTAGTCATTTGTCGAGTCAGACGCGTCGCGGTCGAGGGACCAGCGGCCAGACAGCTGGAGCGCGCCCGCACCTGCCGTATTTAATACCGCGGAAGCCGTACTGGTACCTGCTATCGCCACGTTGCCACCTGCTACCGGTATACCGGACTTGAACGCGGTACTGCGGACGTGGCTGAGGTTCATTTGACTCAAGTGGGCGGCAGAGACCGTCATGGGCGTCGCCGCCGACTGCGCAGCAGAGAGTACCGAGCCCGTGGCGGCGCCGAGTCGAGGCGGGATGGCCATGGAGTTGCCCACGATGCTCGTGGCGTTGGCTGCGTGCAGGTTGGACGCGTTCTTTCGCTGGTTCATGTTCATGGCGGCAGCAAGCGACGTCGTGGCGGGGCTCTGCTGATAGTAGTAATTGCGAGTAAACATGAATAGTAGTACTATCTCGTGAAAAGCGATTGCAAAGCCAACACAAGCGCAAAGTGGCGTTGTTGCTTGGGACGAGCGACGCTAAAGTTGCTGGTGCTGCTGGCACTTTCGCCTGTTGATCGTCGACCTGCTGCTACCCCGATGGTCGTGAGAATCGCTTTAGACGGGTTTCTATCGACGGGGCAGCTTGGAAACACACAGACACTGTTTGTTTCGTCGCATGACGTCGCTCAGAGCAGAAACAGCACTCTGTGCACCTCTGACGACTGGCGCGTCATCGGCACTGCGAGACCCTCAGCAAAGTTTGGGGTTAAAACGTCAATGCGCTGGCGCACCGAACCTCAGCGCACCGACAAACTGCGTGCCACTTTGCTGAGCTCGTACAGTGTGCATACGCTCGTTAAAAAGAATTGGATACTCATCGAAGTCGGACGTTAGCGTGCGATGCTGTCACTAACGGTCGGCTGCCGCGTCCATCAGTGGCAAATGTGCATTTGCTCAATTGGTCTCGTTTTTGGGTTTGGCGTTATGTACGGGGATGGACCATAGTGTGAGGTACGTAGGCGCCATATCTGCTGCTTATGATAGTGAAGATCCAAAGTGTGTTGTCGAGTGTAGAGATCATCATCACACTGCATCTTGCGCATAGGCAACGGGTCCAGTACACACAGAGCTGATCGAAGGAGCTTTATTTCTCAAACAGAGTGAGCTGTGAATCGCAAGATGTTCGAAGCTTTGGCTCGAAACCTGACGTGATATGACCTGGTCAACGTCATGTTGCACAGGTGACGACGCTGCTACACCATCAACGGATGTGGCCGATGGCTGCACGATCATACCCCATAATATGCTGACGTACAACGGGCTGGCAAGCGTTCGTGTTCAAGTGATGATGAACGCCTGTCATGTGGCATCTTGAAGCTGACCACGTTTCTTCGTGGCAGTACGTGACGTGCCACTCAGTCATGAGGTCTGGCACCATTTGGTCGAAAGAAGATGTTTCTGAGCGTACGCAGCAATCCGGGTGCCTGGTACGGCTTCGTGGTGCCAAGAAACGTCATCATACGCTCGAGGCTAATGACGCCCATGAGCCTTCCCGAGCGCGAGACAAAGACGTTGTTGAGCTTCAGCATGCGAAAGAGCATATCCACGCGACGCATTGGCGTCATCTCCATAAACTGGACCGGTGAGGGGTCGATCAGCACCGTCAATTCGGACGGACAGCACACCTCGTTCGTGACCCAATCCACGACCTTGCCGCCTCGGCAAAACGCGAAATGGATGGGGGACCGCAACAGCTGGACGGGAAGTTCATCTCGACCGTCTTCGTTGTCACACCGACTGCCACTGTAATCGTCGTGGGATATCGAGTTGATGGCTCCGTAGGATCTTCGAGCTGCTGTGCTCTTTCCCGACCTATAGCCGGTTGTCTTTGCGATGGTAGAGATGGCCGACTGAGGGGTGGACGGGAAAAGCGGCGAGGTTTCGCCTGTTGCTACTCTCTCTTCATGGGGCGGTTGCCGCAAGTCTTCCGTTGTCATGGGAAACGGAATGGCACCTTGGCGTTGACAAAGTGACACAGCGTCTGCGAGCCGGGAACGCGTGACTGTAGCCAGCAGGAAGCGATTCTCGGGCGAGTCAACAATCGGAAAGACAAGTTCCATGTCGGAGCGCTTCAGCAATACCATCGCGTCTTCGTAGGTTGAATCGGCGTTGAGCACTCCCATTTCTGCAACGTCCTTCATCACTTCCCAGGCCGAGATATCGTAAGCAGCTTTGGGCAGCTTTTTCAGTCGAGGCAAATTGCTCGTCGCAATAAGGACATCGTAAACGTTATCAGTGAATCGCTTGGCCGTGAAATAGGCTGCTAGCGTTGCCACAGACACGGGCAGATTGAGGCCATCGGTGTGTGAAATCTCCATGATCATAACTGCGGTTGACACAGCATGCGTCACACCTGAGGAGAAGGCCCCCGCTCCGATGATCGCAAACTCGAAAGGCTCATAGCTGGTGCTCAGGAAATCAAACGCACGTACGGTTTCGCCAACAAGTCGACCAAAGATTCCACCGATCACAAAAGTTGGGGTGAACAAACCAGCCGGCACGGGCAGTAGAATGCTCACAAGCGTGAGGACACACTTGAGCGGCAGGAATGTTACTAGCGACTTCGAAAGCAACAAACTTTCCTCGGTGGTGCTTTTTTGCGTACGGTCACTGGCAAAAATGTGCTTGTCTTTCGAGAACAGCGCGTCAAGAATGCGCCGGGGGGAACCGTGCCGCATGAACCACGCACTGTCTCCGTAAAACTCAAGCCAGCACGAAAGTAGCGTTACAGCCAGAACGAGTCCCACCCGTTTTCCAAGAGCATTCCACCAAGTCGCACGTGGCGAACTTGAGGACGAGGGCTGGAAAAAGCGGTCGCGAGCACGCACCAGTATTGACAAGGTGTAGTTGAAAAGAGCCCCTGCAAGACCACAAACGATACCCATGAGCGCAAACACGCAGAGGTCCGCACACACAAGGCCACCACTTCCTTTACCGGCGTTGGTGTCCGCAGCGATTTCGATGCTCCTGTTGCCAAAGAGCCCATATCCTGAATTCGCTGCACCAAAGCCAACTAGCAGTGCACCCACAATGGCTGCAAAGAATGAACGGGGCAGCGTCCGGACCAGGTAAAAATGCGATGTCACCTCGACCCCAAAAAGTACACCTCCAAAAGGGGACCCGAACGTCGCAGACACGCCAGCAGCGCAAGCACATGCTAGCATCTCCAAACGCTTAGCGTCATCATCGCGAATGCGTTGGAACGGGCCCCAGCTCATCAGGACACTGGCAAACCCACACGAAATCATGACCAAAGGGCCTTCTTTGCCGATCGACAGGCCTGCAGCCAACGCGGCCATCAGGCCAACGATCTTCGTCGCAACACAGCGGAAGGAGAGGTAGGTGCTCATGTTGATGCCTGAAATGGCCACTCGCATGAACGGTAGCCCTGACCCTGCAGCTTGGGGACACACACAGTGAGTCAGAAGCGCTGCGAAGCCTCCCGCAGCAAGTGCCGACGTCACAAACAGTCCAAACCCTTGTCCACCCACCCATTGGTAGTACCGAGCAATCTCGACGCTCCACATGTCAACCACAAGCCCCACACTGCCGGCAAAGATGCCGATTGCAACAAGCAATAGCGGACTCTGCACGAGCACAAACAGACCGCGCAATCCTTGTGGGTAGTCGGCGACATAGACCGAGTGCAGCCCATCATCGAACGCCAGAGCCTTTGCATAGGTCGGCTGGTCCTTTTTACCCGTTGACAGCTGCTTGTACCGCGCCGAAGCTGTCAACGGGTCAGCGTCTTCGAGGGACACGGGAAGCTCCGGTCGCGTCTGCCGCGGCTCGTACCGGTGCCATTGCGAGGGAGACTTGCGGTCCAACACGGGGTTCATGATTCGCTCCATGACGCTGTCGGCGCGCCGACCGAGCGAAAACACCTGTGGGGACGACGAGCGGCGGCGGTAGTGGTCGCCATTGCTGGTGGTATGGCTCCGGTCCAAGTGGGGCCGTGGCAGCAAACTCGCTCGGAAGGAGACGGACGAGGAGCACAGCTGCCGCGTGTTGCTCGTCATGCAGCACACTCGGGGGGAGAAGAGGACGTCGAGCGAGTGCTCGCAAGACGCGATGCGGAGCTGAGTGGACCGCGTGGGCGGATGATCGAAGAGTGAGTGACTGCGACGTTTCGAGGCCAAAGGAGACTTTGGGTAATGGGTACACATTCAACGCACCTCTCCGCTATCGATTTGAGATCCAGACCGGCGGGCGGCTCGGGGCGACCAATGAAAGATGCGCAGCCGTTACACTTCAGCTGCGAGAATAGGGTTGCGAGCGCTTCGGATGGCTCGAGAGAGCGCGTGACGTAACCCGTCCCTTTTCTGCACCACCTCGGAGTCGCGTGACGCTGGCAGGGTCCCCGAGCGTTCTTGCGTCTGCAGGTGTAGCCACTTTTTCGCCAATCACAAACTGCTAACATCGCTCGACGCACACCCAGAAGTGGAAACCGCCCATGTCGTTTCTAAAGCAGCTACTAAAAGCGCCGAAACCGATTTTACTGCACCTGCGGATGCAGAATATCATCTTACAAGGGTGCAAACACCACGTCGTGCGGCCGAGTGTACCCACGTTGTGCACCCGCGACAGACAGTCGAAGAGATGGCAGCGACGCTCGAGATGCCGCAAGAAGAAGAAGAAGACGAAGCGATGAACGACGTGGACGTGCAAGAGGTCGTTCTGGCCGATGAGGCTCCGACAGCGGTCAGCGCAGCAGAGCACGAGCCGAAGCCAAAGGTGCGTCTCCCGCCCCCACAGTGCGATCAAGCGGACTGAAATTCTGTTCTAAACAAGTGTACCCATGTTGTGATGTACCCCCAGCGATGGAGAGAAGCACTTGCGCGTGCAGTGCAAAAGATTGCGGACGAGCGGCGCGAGTCAGTGGGCGACCACCAGCGCCTGTCTGTCGCCGACGTCGTCGTGCAGGCGGCAGCTGCTTTTGATCGGCACGGACACATTTACATGGACTTTGACGACGACGACGACCGGTACGACATTTCAGGGCTGCAGGAACAGGCCACTAAGTGCGTCGAGGAGTCGATGCTCTTGACGAGTCAAAGCAGTCGAGCCGACTACGACGTGCCGGTCATGACCATCTGCCTCATGGTTGTCGGCACGCACGGCGATGTGCAGCCATTTGTTGCCATTGCGAAGCGGCTGCTGCTCGATGGACACCGCGTGCGGCTGGCGACGCATGCAGCGTATCGTGACTTGGTCATGTCGCATGGCGTCGAGTTTTACCCGCTAGCAGGCGACCCGAAAGAGCTCTCGGCCTACATGGTCAAGACGGGTGGCCACCTCATCCCGTTCGACCTGGAGACGCTGCAGAAAGACGTGCCGCGCAATATGCAGATGATTGAAGAGATCCTCTACTCCACTTGGCCAGCGGTGTCCGAAGCAGATCCGGACGGTGGAGGCCCCGGTATCCCGGGCGAACCGTTCCGAGCACAAGCCATTATCTCGAACCCGGTCACATATGGGCACATTCACGTCGCTGAACGACTAGGCGTCCCGCTGCACATTATGTTTCCGCAGCCGTGGGTGCCCACGACAGCGTTTCCGCATCCGCTGTCCAATTTGCCGTATACTGGAAAGCCTGCGAAAGTCAACTACATGTCATACAAGATGGTTGATCTACTCATGTGGCAGGCGACTGAAGGAATGATCAATGCGTTTCGTAGGGATAAGCTGGAGCTGCGCAAAATCCGCAAGGGGGATGGAGGTCGCGACCTTTTGTTAGATCTAGCGATTCCTCATGCGTTCATGTGGAGTCCGCATCTTGTGCCAAAACCAAACGATTGGGGCAGAATCTACGACGTCATTGGAACAGTCAAGTTGGAAGCACCTAGTTCCACATACACGCCGTCACCGCAACTCGAGGCTTTTCTCGATCAGAATGCGGGGCCAATTTTCGTGGGCTTTGGGTCAATGGTCATTCAAGATCCGGAGGGAGTTACGAAGATGATCATCGATGCTGCTGCTGAGGCGAATGTCCGAGTACTGATTCAATCAAGCTGGAGCGACATGGCAGGAAATCTGACGATTCCGGATAACATCTTCTTTCTTGGTAGCTGTCCGCACGACTGGCTTATGCCACGCGTGTCAGCGGTAGTGCACCACGGTGGAGCAGGCACTACAGCAGCGGGCCTACTTGCAGGCAAACCTACTTTTATCGTCCCGTTTTTTGGAGACCAGCCTTTCTGGGGTCGCGCCGTCCTGGATGCTGGTGTTGGCGTGGAGCCTTGTCCAATTTTCCGACTGACAACAGAAAAACTTCGAAGTGCATTTGCGGCACTAGAAAGTCCGCAACTTCGTGCGCGCGCAAAAGCACTGCAGGAGCTCATGCGGCACGAGGATGGCGCGGGTGAAGCGGTGAGGTGCTTCTACCGGAACTTGCCTCTGCACCACATGCGATGTGACTTGGACTGTAAGCGAGCCGCAACAACGTGGAGCCAAAAAGACAAGATTCGACTGTGTGACGAGTGCAGATTCGTAGTGACTTCTCGCTCTGAAAATTTGTTGACGGACGTTGTAGAGTACACCTTCGTCGACTACTCGCCGCGCGGTCCCGAAAATGTTCTTGAAGGTGCTTCTGCTGGCGTGGGTGCGTTCGCCCACGTGTTCGGATCGGGCATAAAAGATGTGATTGTCAAGCCTGCACAAGGATATCGCGAAGAGGGTGCAAAAGGCGCTGCGATTGGACTTGTGAAAGGGTTGGGTGGGCTGATCATCAGTCCGCTAGTAGGCACGCTAGTGTTTGCTGACCATTTTGCAACTGGGGCTTACAATAATGTTCGAGGAGATGACGACAGGAAGGGTTTGCTTATCGCAGATAACAAAAAGCTACTTCACGCGTTGGGTATGAAATCTCACAACAACGTTTACAATGGGTCCATGTGTGCTGATGAGAAAGTTGATACGAATAATCAGCTATCTGCGCAAATTGCGATTCAGCTTACAACGGAAGAAAAAAGCAAGATAGAGGGCCGATACCTGGCGCTTATGGAAGAGCGCAAACTGCACAGTCCGGAGTTGCTTGACATTGCTACAACAACGCCGTCAGTTTCATCGGAGGATTCTGCAGCAGTTGCGGATGGAACCACTTATAATGGTAGTGATTCATTCGGAATCTCCTTTGGCGATGGCGAAAAGATCGGCGAAGCACTCCATGAGGCTGAAGTTCGAGAGTTGGCAGCTGAGGCTCACAAAAAAGACAAAGTGCAAGAAGAGTATGTGGAGAGTCTGAAAAGCCAGCAGCTGCCGAAGATGAATATTTGTATGATGACAACAGGCAGCTGGGAAGAAAGCGTTCAACAGTATGTTGCCATCGGACTGCGGCTCAAAGCGGATGGTCATAGTGTGCGCATCGCGACAACTAGCGGCTACCGGGACCACGTAGCTAGTGCTGGTCTCAGCTTCTACCCTCTAGGAGGAAGCGCTGTCACAACTGGAAATTTCCTGCAGTACTTGTATCAGCGATCCCTGAGTGAGCCGCGCCACAAGTCTCGACTGCTTAACTTGGCCCACGCAAAGCTGAGCCACTGGCGGGAGTCGTTCCCTGAAATGGGCGATCTACGGGATCTCGTGTTCTCGCTTTGGCCGGCGTGTGTGAACGCGGACCCGTTAGAGCCTGGAAAGGCTTTCCGGGCTGATGCCATTATTGCGCACCCGTATCTGTTCGGGCAGACTATTGTGGCTGAGCGTCTTGGAGTGCCTCTGCATTGCATGAGCTACAATCCGCAGTCTCGCACCCAGGCGTTTCCTCACCTACTCAGCTCCAATATGAAGCTTTACAAACCGTATAGATACTCACCTACGAATTCAGTATCATACGATGTTGTCGACAATCTATTGTGGAACAGTACGCGAGATGTGCTGGACGACTTCCGAGACTTCTTGGGACTTACGGGCAGAAGTGTTGCGAATAATTTGCTGGCTGAATGGCGCACCGCTCACACATACCTTTGGGATCCGGCGCTTTTGCCGAAACCACATGATTGGGGAAGTGAGATCGGGATCGCAGGATACGTAGAGCTTCCAGATAGTAATCTGGACAACGCCGGCCTTGATGGCATCGAGCAAGAGCTGAGGTCATTTGTGGAGAAAGAACCTAGTATGCCGCTTCTCTACTTTGGCTTCCAGTGTGGCGACTGGGATCCTCGGCGCGTCCAAGATCTGGTTACCACTCTTCACAGAGCAGCCCAGAAAGCCTGTGTCCGACTGATATTCCAAGGATACGAAAGCAGCAATGACGACGCTGCATTTTTCGTGGGTGGCACGGACGCAGTGTTCGAGATTGACCAGCAGTTTCCAGTAAAACGCATTCTTCCACATGTACACGCTACATTGCACTGGGGAGATCTTTCCATCACGTCGACGTGTTTATCTGCAGGAAAACCTGCGTGCGTGGTGCCGCGTAACATAACTCAGAGAATGTGGGGTCAGGCGTTGGTTTTGGCAGGAGCGGGTATCGAGCCGCTGGAGCCAGATGCATTGACGCCATCCAATCTAGTCCATGTCTTCCACGCACTTTTGGATTCCAAGCTTGCACACTGCGCCACGCGACTTGCCTCGAGGATTGTGCCAACGGATGCAATTGAGGCTGCTGTGTCAGCCTTTTATGGCAATCTGCCACTGAAAGGCATGACGTGCGACCTAGACCCGACTCGCATGGCCCGTGTCTATGACTCGGTGCATAAACTGAAGCTATCGTACGAAGCACGGCTAGTTGTGCACCAGATTACGAAGGACGAAGGTAGTGCGCGAGACTTGAAATACAAGCCGCTCAAGTACTCGCAACACTGCCCGCCACGATTCTCGCTACGAGAACTGGAGCTGCTCGATTCTGCATCACCCGGCAACCTGAAGAAGCAGCCTCAAACCAACATTCTACACCCATGCGATCCTACGAATGCGGAAGTTGTAGCGAAAGTGGACCACGAGCGAGCATCGTTGAGCTCCTTCTTACTACCGAAAGAGTCGGCAGTGCTCAAGCATTGTGGCGACTTTCCGCACAAGAAGCGCTTCCAATTAGCTCGTGCCCAGTCCATGGCGTTAAGCGTGGTGGAAATGCCAAAATTGTGGAAGTCGGAGGAAGAACAGGCGCAGAGGACTCTCGAGATCAACGAAAAGTATGACAAGTTCCTACTGACGCGCAATTTCGCGAGCAGTGCTTCATCATCGTCAACATCTTCGGCTGCGCTTTAACAGGCCGGCTATTCTGTTCAGCGTGATCAGAGGTGGTGGCGGATTATACAGTTGTCCGAATCGATTCGACGCCTATTGACACTTTGTTCACTGACCTGGATGTCCGAAACTCGATAAAGTCAGCAAGAAGCCATGATTGGAAAGCTCAACAAGGGCCTGATGTGTTTCTTCCGAAGATACTGACGATCGCACGACTTTTGGTCTTCTGACATTGGGATGGCTAGCAACAGTGATGGAGATGGGCACCACTTGCGACTACAAACCTATGCCAATATCTTCGGTCCGCAACCTAGTACTGGCAGCGTGGGCTTACATCCGGGTCCAAATGTGCCGCGACGTCCTCAAGTGCCTTGGCTGAACCTTCTCCACGGCAAATCGAAGAAAACCTCATGAAGGAACCTCTGCATGACTTGCAGAGAACAAGGGCAAAACTACAAAGGCGCCTCGCCTGTACCGCCTGTAAGGCAAGTGACACATGCGCGCGCGTGTGGGACACGTACATGCTATTTTGTAGGAGACGGGCTGTTGGTTGTTATGTTCGCCTACGCATGATCAATGGTCTGACGTGAACCTTGCCGGTGTCGGGACGCAAGACACTGGCGTTTCCAAGCATGAGCAACTACACTTCTGGATTAGGGCGTGATGATCTGGACTGCTGAGAAGAAGGCTCGCAAAACGTCAAAAAGCGGCAAAAGGAAGGATCAGTGTACCGCGATGGGAATCTGCGGGTGCTGATGGCGAGAAATTTCGTTGCGGCGGCTAGCACCATCGAGAAAGCGAAAAGGCGCAGGCGATGTGGACTACGATACTGGCGCAAAGACACTGGCATTGGCTGCCTCGTAACAACGGTGATGCATGCAATGGTGGCCAGCCGAGATCATTCTCGACGCCCTCGCGCTGTAGACAAACGTATGAGCACGAAGAGGGTCTTTGGCTTTGTCTTTATCAGAAACGGCCAAATTGACTGGACCCGGAAAAGTACAGCTGGCCTCGAGACAGGAGTGGGCAATCTGCACTCATTACACAGAGATGTACGATGAGGATGTTTTACCCGTCAAGAAAGCAGCAACTGTTCTACATGCGGCATCCTTGCACGTATCATCTCGAAATGTCATGCTATTTTTTGTACGAGGGGTATCCGTATCAGCGCAAGGGAAATCGCTTACTTGCTGAGCTCGACGCTCTCCTGGCGGCACCCGTGAGATGGCGCTGATCATGGAGTCAAGGAAAGATGCGCAGTAACATCTTTCCAGCTAGTTTGGATTGTACGTGATGTAGCCCGAGCTGGCTAGCTATATGTTTCTCGGAAACTAGAACAACACTTGAGCATGATTGCAGAAGTGCCATCCCAGATCTTTAGTCTTGAAGCTATTCGGCAAGGTGCAGACGAGAAGAACGACTCATTGCACGGCTCCTCTGCACATAAGCATTGCCACCTGCATCTTCATTGCCAAGTCTGTACACGTACGTGAGAGCAGTACATTGAAAGCGGGGAAGTCAAAGACGTAACGACAACGTTCTTACAGAAGTAACGAAACGACTCGGCGAGAACCCCACACGTACAAAGAATATATGGTCGACAGAACATTCGTCGTGTCAAGCATGTACATGACATGTATAATGTAGACCATGGATTCATCGTGTCTATATGTACAGTATAGTGCAGTGCTCCCTTCGATAGGTCGCCCTACGTTTGTGACTAACATCCTGTAATATCAAGTCTAGTGGACAACAAGCGTGTCGGTGCCCGCTACGTTGCAAATGATAGCCAGGATGACAACATCATTGCGCAGACAACTATTTCTAGTTGGGCTGGCTGCAGCGTCATACAATGCGTATCAGTTGTATCATCGATGTCCAAGCATCATTAGTAGAGAAATGTCTACAGAACCACGATTCGGGAGTGATTATGGTACTATGGTCCTTGGGAATATGGGGCTGTGGATTGCGAAAACTCTATGCGCAGCCCAGTGACTTTCCTCAGATGCATTGAGCAATATCCAAACATCACGTAAGACGTCGTATGTAAAGTCGATGTACACCTGATCGCAATGGAGCTGCATTTTTCCATTAACGCACTACTTCCTTGTCCATCTCTCCATGATAAACCTCTTTCAGAACCCAGTCTTCGGTCAGCCCCGTTGAGCGATCTCGTCCTCTCTCATATAACTAAGAAGCTTCAGCTTTGACATTGGCAATACGATTACGAACACGTATATTTCTAAAGGCTAAGCTCCAGCTCGCTGTGGCGAATCCGCTATCTCACGATTGCTGATGCGATCTGCGGCCTTCCATGTGGGCCAGGCTTAACGACACAGGAGAGGGGGACTTCAATATTCGTGGGGGAGCTTGTAATCTTGCGCTCACAATGTGTTCTCGTCGGTCAGGCTGGATTAATCTCTTCGTTTAGCTTGAAAGAAGCGGGCCTCACCTAAATTAAAGTGAGGATTAGGCGTCGCACGGGAAACTTCTCTTGGAATGAGGTTTCTTTCGGCGACCTCGATTGTAAATTGAGAAGAGTTTAGTCCGGGCCCGTATGCCTCTGATATTGCTCGATCTGCTGCTTGATTTTCTACAATAGTGTGGCGAGGGGACGATAGCAACATGGATGATGCGACCTCGGCTCTCTATTGGCACCCGAACGACCGAATGATAGAATAGAGTTTTCCAGTTCTGTGTCAAACGTTTCTTCCCCGCCTTGTGCATCGTCGGTACAGTGAGTGCACTATTCTCGGTGATGTGAATTAGCCGATAGAGTATATATGATGAGAGGCAAGGGCGATCGCCTAGTTCACGGGAACATCCTGACCATTTGATACCGATCATAGCATGTGATTTGTCTATTATTGCTTGTCGCTTACAATCGCAAGAGCGGTTGTTGTACGAGTCATTACTGAACCCTCGTTGGGCGCATCAGGGCTATAATCGAAAAGATACTACCGATAACCATTGCAAAACGCTGATTATGAAACTGTTTTGGCTCAACATCCGATGCCATTCAGTCATTGTAAAAGCTGTCTGTATTAACATTCGTCTACAATCATGATTTATGAATGTGAAATGTGCTACATATTACGGAAAACTCGTTTTCACCCAGATATGCGTCTGAAATAATGTAGGGTACAATTTATGTAAACGTAAGCAATCTTTTGAGCGGGCGTCATTGTAAATTTATCATTAAATCCCACTCGCGACTTTGTCGAAGATAAGCTGCTATGTTGGACACAAAAATAAATGCCGAAGAACCATTTATGAAGACGGGGTGATGCGATATATGCCGCGTCGCACTGTACTCTCTATTGACCGCCTAAGAAGCTTGCGTTTTTCATTGTATATGAAGGGCCAAATCGAAATCAATTTATCTAGTTATCGTTTGTGACTCGATCAAGGTTGCACAGATTTTCCATCATACGAAGGATACATACAAAACGCTCATCCCGTTCGTACATTGTAATGCTGTTGAAGAGATGCGTCATTTTGTATATCACTACCGACAGCGTGAGCCAAAATATTATTACCGGAAGATCATATTGATCATCTTTACGGTTTATCGTACGCTACCCAATGCGTATAAAGCTCTCAATTACATCATCTATATAAGAGTGCAGGGTAGATACGTGATGTCAGATTCTTAATTCCTTATACCTTTCCATTAGACTACGTTTTCATCCTTACACTGACGAAGACCGAACATTTGAGTTGCTGGATACGATGATCAGCTTGTCTAGAATTGATGTATCGATTGATTGTAATCGAAGTTTCTTCCACATTCTTCATTACAATTTGTCTTATATGGTACGCCAAGACTTCTCGTATTGCCAAATCGATACTTCCAACAACTTGTACGAAGATCTTCGACTGTAGCTAAAATTGTGCCATCGCGATTATCTTAAGTTTTAAATATCTGCTTTATACCCAGTTCCGGTACATTTATGATTCTTGAACATAAACGTCTTACGAGCACAATGCATATGCTCAAACTTTATACATTTCTAAATATGGAGTCGACGAATGTAAGTTAATCAAGCGGGCATCACAGCCTCCTCTTTACTTACAAGTGCGTTGTGGATATTCAATCGACCACTTTTTTTAAGTTTGGATCGGGGTCATTAGCTTATCTTTCGTAGAAACCTGATAAGGATACCACTGTCTAAATGTCACCAAAGACAAACTTATATACTCCACTAGATGCGGTGTACACCGAAGTGAATATATTTAATTGGTATACGATACATCTCAAACCAGCATAAAAATAGAATTTGTACAATACGAAGATTCGTATGCATCATCCTGTGACATATTTCCACTAGAGTTTTTATCGACATCCTCTCAATCTATGACTTTTGCAGTCCACATAAATATTTGTATATCCCATACAAATCATTGCTGGTAGACATTTGGATGTGCAATAGAATTGAATTTCATCTTACGAATCTTGATCTCCTCCTTTACTCTACAAAATCATTCTTCGCCATCCTTGATTCGTCTTCTTTTTGCTTCGGACGTATGTGATGTATCGAACATATGATACGCTGCCCTCTCCGATGTGTAGCTCAAGTTCACAGACATCATACTACTTGACCGGCTGACATATATGCTTATCTACTCAATATGCTATTTGTTCGCGGCGGATCATGTTGCTAATTAAAAAGGTATACATCCCAAATATATCAAGAGCTGAATGGATGTGATAGACATCATAAGTTTGTCGACACCAAATGTATCAATAGTTTCCGTAGCGGATAATTGTATATGACCTACACTTCGCGCTGTATGATATCGTACATCCACATTTGTATCTCCTACTCAGTCTTATTGAAAAGTATCATGATTTCGTTTCGATATGTTGCGTATTTTATTGGTGATAACACCCTAATTTGTTACGAATTCAATTTCACATATTATAGGTGCCTCACATACAACAAACTGGTATTGCCACCGCGACATAATAGATCGCACAAATTAGCATGCAAAGTTAAGTATATACTAAAAATGATTGA